GTTTCATGCCTTCTTGGTATTGAGTTCGTTGGCAGACCGATGTGGCTACGTATTTAGCTTGAGTTAGTTTGGTTGGTCCCGAGTTGTATTGTTGAGGGATAGGTTGATTTGATCATTATTGAACTTGTTAGTGCTCTGGGGAGATCTATGAGTTGCTTTTCTGTGCTGTGAGACGTTATGATTTGTTGGATATGGGCACATGTGGTGCGGTTCTATTGGGGATTCATAGAGAAAGTCGAGCGGGAAGAGTAATTGGGTGTTGATCGGTAAAGGGAGTATCAGTTATGACCTATCGGGTTGCGTGTCATATGTTATTTGTTTCACCGTGGATGTAATGAATTGCCTTGGTTTCAGACATCAAAATGTGCGTGGCTGTCGATTTTGATCACAGTGACTTGAGGTGCTTCATGTGTAACAGTGTTTGGATAGGATCGCGCATTGTAGCGAGGCTACGTGGAGTTATGACCTTTCGAGGTAGATTCAGGTGTTCTATTTCTATGATGTGAGACGGGGTCTCAGCCTTGTGTGGTGATGGTACTGATGAACTTGAGTTACAGCTCTTTCATTTGAGTCACTTGTCATGATTTGAGTATGTTCAGACCGTTTCTTATTGGTGCGTGTATTATGCAAGTTGTGGCTTAGGCCTGTATTGAGGTGTCATATCACCAGAGTGGAGTGTTGGATCCGAGGTGGTCGTTGGGGTCATTAATGAATACGAACAGATTTGATCTCAGCTTGTTAAAAGGATATTATCAAGGTTCGGCCCGGAAATCGGTTGTGGTATTAGTCAAAAGGGAAGTGGCTTCATGAATGGTTGATCTGAGAAATGGTTACGGTTTATCGCATGTTTTATTTATCGTTGGCAGTATATGAAAGTGTTGAAATAAGACTTTAGCTAATAAGAGGTTTTCTATCGGTATTTGGTTATTGTGGGCAACTGCTGTGAATAGAGGCTATCGTTTCGAGTGTTTGGATTATGTGGTATATCGGATGGTCTCACCTGAGGTTGCAGGTATGGGTTATTACAGCTGGTTCGGGTTTATTCTGAATATAGACGTGAGGTTCTGATCTTGTGTATGATTTCGGAAAGTGCAATGTGGTTCTACCATTTATGGTCTAGATGGATTGTGAGATTTAAGCTATGTTGTATTATCGGACCTATGCGAGATAGGGTGACGTGGGATCACCCCGGGTGTATGCTTGGTAAGGTCATTCAGCTATTGGTTGGCTTCTAGTACAACTCCAGGTACGCTAGAGGACGAGCGTTTGTTTAAGTTGGGGAGGATGTGACGACCCGACCCGACCCGTCGTCATGTGAGTTACCGCCCCGTTTTCCCCATTTTCGGTTTCCTTATGTGTTATTATACGAGTCTTGTGTGAATGAGTTGATTTGGATTGATTCTGGATGGAAATGAGACACTTAGTCTCATCAAGGAAGGTTTGTTTTGGAAAAGTCAACCGGATGTTGACTATTGAGTTAGAGGGTTTGGGTGTGATTTCCGGTGATTTGGTTAGCTTCGGGGGATGATTTGAGACTTAGGAGTGTGACCGGAATTGATTTTGGAGGTCCGGTGTAGAATTAGGCTTGAATTGGCAAAGTTAGTGTTTTGGCGAATTCCGGTTGATAGGTGAGATTTTGATCCGAGGGTAGGAATGGAATTCCGAGAGTTGCAGTAGCTTCGTTAGGTGATTTGGGATGTATGTGCAAAATTTCAGATGATTCGGAGGTGGTTTGGTTGGGTTTTTGATCGAATGCGAGTTTCGGAAGAATTTGGGGAGAACTTAGGCTTGGATTTGATGCAATTTGATGGTTTTAGTGTTAATCGTGGTGTTTTGATAATTGGAACAAGTTTGGGTGATGTTTTAAGATATGTTGGTGTTTTTGGTTGAGGTCCTAGGGGCCTCGGGGTGAGTTCGGATGGTTAAACGGAGAGTTTTGGAATTTTTCATGTTGCTGAGCCTGCTGCAACTGGTATTTTCGCTTCTGCGAATCTTGGACCGCAGAAGCGGACACGCTTGTGCGAAGGATTGACCGCAGAAGCGGTGAGGTGGTTTGGGCGCCGGTTCCGCAGAAGCGATTGTCTAACCGCAGGAGCGGTATCGCTTATGCGTTTGTGTAACCGCAGAAGCGGTTGAGCTCGAGTTTGGAATTTCCGCAGAAGTGGAAGAAAAGTCGCGGAAGCGGTCCCGCATAAGCGGGAAAGGGACCGCAAAAGCGAAAAGAGCTGGGCAGATTTATATTATTTCCTCCGCGAACTAGGTCTTATTTTCACCATTGTTGAGCAACCTTGGGAGCTTTTTGACGAGGATTAAGGAGGGTTTCGACGAGAATTGATTGGAGGTGAGTCTCGTGACCTAGAATCATCATTTTTTCGAAGAATCAACACTTAAATTCATGGAAATTTGATTAAAATTGGAAGAACTAGGGCTTGACTTTTGAAATGGAAATTTGGAGTTTGAGGGAACATTGGAGCTCGGATTTTGGTAAATTTGATATGTATGGACTCGTGGTGAGGTAAGGAATCCATTGATGTTAATTTTATAATTTTTCGAGAAGTGGGCCCGGGGCTCCGGTTTTGCTAGTTTCGAGATTTTTGCTATATTTTGATTGTTTTCAATTAGGTATTGTTCCCTTGGGATATTGTGATGCATTCGCTCTGATGTTGGATAGATTCGACGCGCGTGGAGGCCGATTTGAGGGGCAAAGGCGTCGCGAGCTAGAGATTTCACCGGTTCGAGGTGAGTAATGATTGTAAATGATAGTCTGAGGGTTTGAAACCCCGGATTTGTACATCATAGTGCTGTATTGAAGTGACTTGCACGCCGGATAGCGAGCGTGGGGTAGAGCACCGTTGGGGATTGTGACTTGGTCCGTCCCGATTGATGAAATTACTACTTATTTGACTGAAACTACTTGTTATCATCATAATGTGGGCTGATTGCCATGTTTGGGCTTCGTGCCAACTATGTGAATCCTTCAGGGATTGATATCACTGTTTTCGCATTACTTTGCATATTACTTTATCTCGGTCCAGGGTTTTAATACTGTTTTGCAAACTCAGCCATTTTTCTAAGATTTGAAAACTTAAACAATATTTTATTGACGTTTTGAGCTGAGAACTATTATTTTAATATTGCCCAAGTGGCTTATGTGCATTTCTGGACTGAGCATGGATCGGGCTGCGCGCCGCAGCAGTGTTATAGTGATTTCTGGAAATATGGATGGCTCGGGCTGCGCGCCGCAGCGGTATTGTATTGATATTGAGGCCGAGGGCCTGGTTGGTGCCCCGAGATGGCTTGATTATTTGCGCTTGGGCTGTAGGAGCCCCTCCGGAGTCTGTACACACCCCCAGTGAGCGCCGTCGATGTTAAATATATGGATGGCTCGGGCTGCACGCCGCAGTGGGTACCGGTGTGTACCGTCATATGCATTGCATTGCACTCATGCATTTGTTCCTATTTATATTATTTGTCATGACATTCCAACACTCGCATTTCATTTGCTTCTATGCTACTTCTTGTACTGCTTACCTGATACCCTGGTGTTATTTGTTAATGGAGTGTTGTGCCCGAGGGGCTGACTTTTGTGCTGACTTGCACTATCTGTTTCGCATTCATTTGCTTAACTGTTGGAAAGAGATATTTTCAAAAGAGGTTTTAAACTGAGTCCAGATATTTCTAAAGATTTTCACAGTTTCACTGTTTTTCTCAAAGGGTTACACTATTCTATATAGGATGATGGCTTGCTTTACGTGATTTCTTGCTGCTTAGTTATTATTTACCTTTATTACTCACTGAGTTGGAGTACTCACTTTACTCCCTGCACCTCGCGTGCAGATGCAGGTATTTGTTTACCCGGTAGCGGGTTTGAGCTGGTTGAGGATTTTGCTATCGTAGCTGAGCAAGGTGACCGCCAGCGTTCGCGGCACCGGATTTCTTCTTTTTAATTCTAAATTTTAATCCATGTATTACAGGCCTTGTAGATGTATTAAAAATCCTTCTAGATGCTCGTGGCTTGTGACACCCCGGTCGGGCTGTGTCGGGACGGTTCCCTATTTTTATCACTTTTCTTCTGCACATATGATAGTTTTATTAATGTTTTAGACTTATTCATGCTAAGTAAGTATTAAAGAGGTATTGATGTTCTGTTGGCTGGCCTTGTCTTCACGAGAGGTATCATCACGACCGGGTTTGGGAATTGGGTCGTGACAAGAGTTGATGAAAATACTACAAGTTTGGAAACATAGTCTGAAAATGAATAAAATATGCAGAAGATAAGGGAGAAACGGGGCTGTGGACGTCGACAGCTACCTCGTCTCTCCTAGTCCGCCTGGTCTGGAAGGAAATCAGCACTCAGGTACGAACTCAGCTGTGCCTGTCTCTGCACACATGGTGCAGGAAGTAATGTGAGTACTCCGACCCAGTGAGTAATAAAAATAAATAACGACTGAGAATATAAAATCCCACAAGGGCACAAATAATGCTATCTCAAGCAGCAACATCAGATAAACAGTAGAAACCAGTGAAATATAGTAAGAAAATCTTTTTGGAAACAGTTAAAAATCAATCATACTCAACCAGTAAGTCAACCATTGTTACCTGACCGGTCAGCCATTGTTACCTGACCAAACGCGTATTACAGTGCCATTGTTACCACTGGTCAGTCATTGTTACCTGACTGGTCAGTCATTGTTACCTGACCAAAGGCGTATAACAGTGTCATTGTTACCACTGTTCAATATTTAATCACTCTAGATGGGTACCCGCGCTCACTGTGGGTGTGCAGACTCCGAAGGGGCTCCTACAGCCCAAGCTCTATCAACAAGGCCTGAAAGCCTGAACAAATATCAATACGAGGCCTGAAAGCCTGCTCACAATGCACTCGAGGCCTGAAAGCCTCCTCACCTCACTCATCATGCNTCTTGCTGTATAGAGTAAATAACACTAATAAGCAATGTATTTGTCCGAAAAAAATATAATAATAATTTGTTATACTTTACCTCAATTCCTTCCGCTAGCCCAGTATTTCCACCACCTCTACCACGGCCTCTACCACGGCCTCTACCACCACCTCTACCATCACTTCTACCACCACCTCTGCCAACACCTCTGCCAACACCTCTACCACCACCTCTACCCCTCCTATTACCTCTAACTCCACTTCCACCAGCCGTTTGTGAACTTCTAAAGTATGAATCAATTCGCCCTCTATATCTATTCAACCTTGGACGTCCACGAGAAGCTACGTATCTAGGATCTCTTATATTTCTTCCTTCACCATCACCCTCACCCACACCCTCACCCACACCATGTCACGACCCAATTCCCACCCGGTCGTGATGGCGCCTCTCGTGAAGACAAGGCCAGCCAACAGAACAATCAACACTGCTTTTAACAATTTCTTAGCATAAACAGGTTTAAACCATAGATACTGATTAATCATAAGTGCGGAAATAAACGTAACATAACGGGGAAAAACCATCCCAACCTTAGCCCGATGATCGGGATGTCACAAGTCACGAGCTACTATAGAGTTGATGAAAATACAAGTCTGGAAACATAGTCTGAAGATGAATAAAGTATGCAGAAGATAGGGAAGAAACGGGGCTGTGGACGTCGACAGCTACCTCGTCTCTCCTAGTCCGCCTGGTCTGGAAGGAAATCAGCGCTCAGGTACGAACTCAGCTGTGCCTGTCTCTGCACACATGGTGCAGGAAGTAATGTGAGTACTCCGACCCAGTGAGTAATAAAAATAAATAACGACTGAGAATATAAAATCCCACAAGGGCACAAATAATGCTATCTCAAGCAGCAACACCAGATAAACAGTAGAAACCAGTGAAATATAGGAAGAAAATCTTTTTGAAAACAGTTAAAAATCAATCATACTCAACCAGTAAGTCAACCATTGTTACCTGACCGGTCAGCCATTGTTACCTGACCAAACGCGTATTACAGTGCCATTGTTACCACTGGTCAGTCATTGTTACCTGACTGGTCAGTCATTGTTACCTGACCAAACGCGTATAACAGTGTCATTGTTACCACTGTTCAATATTTAATCACTCTAGATGGGTACCCACGCTCACTGTGGGTGTGCAGACTCCGAAGGGGCTCCTACAGCCCAAGCTCTATCAACAAGGCCTGAAAGCCTGAACAAATATCAATACGAGGCCTGAAAGCCTGCTCACAATGCACTCGAGGCCTGAAAACCTCCTCACCTCACTCATCATGCCCTCACATAAGGCCCTTGGCCTCAATCGGTCCAAAAATAGTCAAAGCCCCTCGGGCATCAGTAAAACAATAATACCCAACTCAAAAATAGTTCAAATATCAGTTAAAACTCCAAGTTTGAGTAAAAATATAGCTGAGTTCATGAAACAGTGTAAATCACATGGACTGAGTTCAAATAGTATTTCAAATAGTGAGGGAAAACAGTAATAACAGCTCACAAAGAGTTCAACAGTCGGCAACAAGCCCAAGTATGGCAATGAGCCCAAAACATAGTGAAAACAACAAGTCATAGCTGACACGCAGTAAAATATTATCCGGGCTGGACCAAGTCACAACCCCCATTAGTAAATGACCCCGCGCTCGTCATTGAACGCGTGTCTCATCTCAACACAGCACCAAGTTGTGCAAATCCGGGGTCTCAAGCCCTCAGAACATCATTTAAAATCATTACTCACCTCTAGCCGGCCAAAAGTCTAGCTCGCTATGCCTTTTCCCCTCGAATCGACCTCCTCGCTCATCGAATCTGATCAAAACCACAAGGAATACATCACAATAGGCTAATGGATCATAACCCAATCGAAAAGACTCGAAAAATATCAAAAATCACGAAGTTGGCAAAACCCGAGCCACGGGGCCACTTCTCGAAAAATTACGAAATTTACATCACCGGATTCCTCGTCTCTCCACGAGTCCATACATATCAATTTTACCAAAATCGGAGTCCATTTGACCCTCCAAATTCCGTTTCAAAATTACAAATTCTCAAGCCCTAGCTTTACCCCCTTTTTGATGAATTTCAACCAATTTCCATGTTAAATTTAGCATAATTTCTTGTATTTGGGTCAAGGGACTTACCTCCAATCACACCTAGTCGAAATCCTCCTTCAAATCCGTCCAATAGCTCTCAAGCTCGTGTAAAAAATGGCGGAAATAACTTAACCCTCGCGGATGAAAATGATATTATAAAACCCCTTCTGCCTACAGCGATTTTCGCTTATGCGGTCCCGCTTCCGCATATGCGGGACCGCTTCTGCGGCCATTTCCCCGCTTATGCGGTTTTCTCACTTAACTTACCACTTCCGCCTTTGCGACATATTCTCCGCTTTTGCGGATTACCCAAGACCGCTTCTGCGGTTATTCACTCGCACCTGCGGACCCGCTGATGCGGAAAGGGGTCCACTTATGCGGAACTCATCAATTCAACACAAGATCGCTTCTGCGCTTTTCCACCCGCTTCTGCGGAACCGCTTCTGCGGTCCATTTCCGCAGAAGCGGAAATACCAGATGACAGAAATCTCAGACCTGAAGCAACTTCCAAAAACTCTCGTTTAACCACTCGAATTCACCCCGAGGCCCCCGGGACCTCAACCAAAAACACCAACATATCCTAACACCTTATTCAAACTTGTTCCAATCCTCAAAACACATCTAACAACGCTAAAACCATTAAATCACATCGGATTCAAGCCTAAGTTTCTTAAAAACTCCCGAATTACGCATTCGATCAAAAGCCCAACTAAAACATCTCCGAATGACCTAAAATTTTGCACACACATCCAAAATCACCTAACGGAACTACTGCAACTCTCGGAATTCCATTCCCACCCCCGGATCAAAATCTCACCCACCAACCGGAATTCGCCAAGATACTAACTTCGCCAATTCAAGCCTAATTCCGCACCGGACCTCCAAAATCTCTTCCGATCACGCTCTTAAGTCACAAATCATCCCCCGAAGCTAACCGAATCACCGGAAATTACATCCGAGCCCTCTAACTCAATAGTCAACTTCCGGTTGACTTTTCCAAAACAAGCTTTCCTTAAAGAGACTAAGTGTCTCATTTCCATCTAAAACCAATCCAATTCAACTCGATCACCTCAAATACCGATAATGAAGCATAGAGAAACATAATATGGGGAAAACGGGACGGTAACTCACGTGACGACGGGCCGGGTCGTCACATGCACCAAGTAAAACACTAGTAAAGAAATGAAGGCAAAAAACATTAAGAACAGAATTAAATTTACGTTTCATATTCCACTTCTCGGGAAAAGGCATACTTTCGGGCGGGATTAAGTCCGAGGTCTTCATTGGAACGAACCGACCCATCCAACCCTGATCCCTGTCCTCGTCTATACTCGAGAAAGGCACCTTGTTATCTCGACGCTGAAGCTTTATTAATCCTCCCCGATAAAGTCGGGGGCTGTATAGGTGAATGAGATGGTTTAAGGTGAAGGGAAACCCCTCGACCTTGTTCACAAAAAAATGAAGCAATATCACTATCCTCCAAAAAGAATGATGGATCTGACCGAGGGTGACCTCGTAATTCTTGCAGAAGTCCACTATGATCGGGTCTAGAGGGCCCGGTGTGAAGGGGTAAGTGTAAACACTCAAGAACCCCTCCACATGGGTAGTAATTGACTCCTTAGGAGCGGTCACCACCACATGCTTATTACCCCAGCTGCAATTCTTTTTGACTTGGGAAAGGAGTTTATCAAAGATCGAGCATATATATCTCGGTACAGGTTTGCATCTACCCGGAGGAACCTTTCTCGACCTTAAAATCAGATTCGATGATGCATGGCGGAGGAAAGAATTCTATAGGTCGTGGCTCCGTCGCGGTCTCCTCGCCGGCGGACCATCACAAGGAAGCTTTTTCCTTTTATGGCACTATCTTTGACATTTTCACCATTTGGTTATTGGATTAAAGAAGGAAGAAGGTGATAGTATTTGGTGTTTTAAAAAGAAGTTAGCAATGAAACTTGAAGATTTGCAGATGAAGAACTTGAAGAATGAAAAGAGTTTTGAAGACTGGCGCAGGAGAGATTGAATGTAAAGTTTAAAAGAGTTGAATAAAGGCCTGTTTATGGGTTTCACAGTGACGGTTTGAAATTACTAGTGGACGACCGTCAACTAACACACATTAATAACCTAGGGAACTGCACTGACGGGATGTTTTGTTCATCTCTGTCGCTTACGTCACGGTGATGATGTCATGATAAATCGGGGTAAAGGTTGAGGACTCAATTTGTTTCTTGTTAATATACTCCAATAAACGAGGAGACTATCTGTGTACGGTTAAAACCGGGCCCACCCGATTTCACTAATTAACCAAGACCAGGGGGATGGATCGAGGATTGGCCCCGTAGTATATCAGACCGAGACATGAGGATAAAGTACTGACTTCGGATTTTGAAGCACCTGTCATGATCAAGATCGAAAATGATCGAGACAAAACGGGATAGACTTCGAGCAAGATCGAAGAAAGCGTAAAAACTGACATGCGAGATATCCGTGACTGGTAGAGAATCATGGCAGAAATTCTAGAACGGATCAAATCAAGTACGGTTGTTTAGCTAATCATGGGATAATCTTGTGTAATTAGATTTGTACCATAAGTGGAATTCCTCTACTATATAAAGAGATTTACTGTTGGAGTTCATACTTTTTCAATAGCAAACTCAGTCGGTTCAAAGGCGATTTAGCTTGAGGGCCACTGTTGTTCATCATAGTTGTTTGCTTTATTTTACTGTTAATTTCTAGCATTAACTCTCACATTTATCATTTTGTGCCAAGTGAAATCACATATCCTTAAAACCACTTATAAGTTTAATTGTTATCCTATTTTAAGGGTAAATAACAAGCATATCTAAAACTCGAGGGCTCCTACCTTATATGACCTTGGTCGACTACACTTAACTCTTCCATATAATAGAAAATACGAAAATCTATAAAAAGAAAAATATTACTTGAGTAGTTCAAATATAATACAAAACTTTATTATAGTTCATATATTAATGGATTCAGTTAGATTTGATCGGAATTTATTTTTTCCAATCGACCCTTTTATTTTAGGGTCAAATGTTTTATTCTAGGGTCAAATGTTTTATTCTAGGAATTACAAGAGGAAGATAGAAGGAACAAAATAAAAGAAAATAATTTAGCACCTAATGATATTGGAGCCTTTATTCTGTTTTAAGCGGGAAGTATATTTGTGTAACTTAATATAGTGACAAAAATTTGTTTTTCTTGTCGTAAGCTAAAGAAGACCCTATTTCTTACTTTTCCTTAAAAGTTTCTCCCGTAGATAATGAAGCGCCTTAGACCAAGGAATTATTACCAAATTTAGTGACATAAAGCCAAATTTTAATGAGGAAATGACACTTAGAATCCCATTTAAAGATTTAATAACCAAAGTGCTCTCAGTTTTTTAAAATGACGCGCACTGCGCTAAAGTTTCAAATTATCACACGCGTGCCCCATCTTTTATGCCAGGTACCTTCTCTCTCTTTCCCAATATCAAAATACATAACCGTTCTCTAACTGCAAAATAGACATGCAAATTTTGGTAAAATTTTCCAAATTTCCTGCAAAATCACGAATTTTCGCTTCTAAATCTCCGTTAGGTTTCAATTTTCCTTTCTCCTCTGCCAAAATTTGGTAATAAAAAGCTTTCATTTGGAGAAAAAATATTGAAGTCTCATGGGTATAAAGCACTCTCTTGAGCGTGCAAGACTTTTCCCTCCAACTCCACCTTCACCACAGGTCTGATCCAATTCTACCTTCATCACAAATTTTTGATATTGATATGGATGTGGAAAATCAGTCAATCACAAAGATCGAGTCTTATATGAAAGATGCTCCAAGCGTCCATGCAATTAGAGAATCATTATCGACAAGTGGAACTAAACTAGTTAGTTTTGGAAGAACGCATTCACAAAGGTCTAAGGCAGGAGATATTGTTGGTTCTCCAAATTCTAAGCAACAATAAATTGATGTTTCTCAAACTGATTTGAAAACCTCCTTAAGCGGTCATGCAAATGGAAAATCATTTTCGAATGGATCTGGAGCAGCTAGTATGAGAAGAACGTGTTCTCAAAGTACTATGGAACACCAAATTGGTCATTCTCAAATTGCTAAGCAACGAGAACTCGATGTTTCTCAAACTCATTTGAGGCCTACACAATAGAGGAAGGTTTCTGAATCAAGTTTGGTCAGAAAAAATATGTCGAATCCCCTTCAGCGGTAAACTTTGGAATATATTCGAAGTTTTATGTATGTTAGAGCTTACTTATTAATAGCTAGTTCCTCTAATGTATACCATGTGATATATTTATATATGCGTGTCTATTTAAATGCAGCTTAATGCAAGCGATAAATCGAAATTTATTATTCATTTTAATTCTGAGATTGTTAGCAAAGGGAGAAAAAAATTATCAACAACACAAGTTAGGCTTTTTAGGTCAACTTATTTTCGATATTTGTTGGATTTTCCTAGATAGAAATGCAATCGCAGTTAATATGTTCTTTGTTGACGATGGAGGTTGAAAAAGGAAATGAGGCTGAAATGCAGTTTGTTGACAATGGAGTTAAGCTACGTTTTGGTTTGTCTGAGTCAGTTGTGTGAGTGGATTAAAATGTACTGGTAATATATGACTCCCTACTCGTCATAAGGAAAATAAGAACCATTTGATTGAAAAGTACTTTTTGGATTACCCTTCTCTTGTTAAAAAATACCTTTCGGATTATTTTTTTAATAAAATATATGAGTCTGACGAAGATGCTGTGAAGGTGACAGTGCTATTTGTGATAAATTTCATCCTCTTTTTTATTAAAATCACCAAATTGATAGATTGCGGTTACTTTGACTTGGTTGAAGAAGAAGATTATAGAAGTTATCCAAGGGGAAGAGTTATATTCAAGGTTTCCTTAAAATGAATGTCTGACATTTTGGATAGGCGGCGACAGTATTATCGGATTTTTGGGTAACCTTTGGCTATTCAGATATGGTTCTATGAATGTTGTATATATTTGCATAATGATGTAATCAATAGGCAGCAAGAAATACACACAAAGTCACGTGTATATCATGTTGGAAAAGTCAGGCGTTAGGGTGGAAAAATGTTTTAGGGGTATGACTTGTCACTAACTTTTAAAAGTGGTGTATATCTGTCATTTCTTCAATTATAATAGAGGCCTTAAACTTTTTTAATAGAAATAATATAAGATACACATACAGACAAAAAAAGTTATTTTTATCTTTCTTCTGTACTTTTTATTTATAATATAGTATTTGTACAAAAGTTTTTAACTTCATATATTAATATTATTATTTATATTGGTAATAAGAACACATTCAAGTTAATAAATAAGCCATATATTTGCAATGCATTACATTGGATCTTGTTGTGAAAAAACTTTATTTACTACTATGAGTATTGAATTTTTTAAATCAAAGTTCTAAAATATTTCTACTAAATCTTTCTTTCTTTTTTCTATAAACTACTTTTAGNTAATAACTTCGATATATGAGTTGCATTTGCTTTAATAGGTGACAAAAAGTAAAATAATGTGTTGATTTGTACTCAAATATCATTACACAATATTATTGTTTGTAAGAAATTTGTGCAGAAAAATAAAATAGCAATCACAAACAACTATAAAGAAAAAAAATTATTGATAAACATTGCAGATTACAACTCGGTTTATCCCTTGATTCTTTCCTTCGATTTGTTATTCGTAACTCAAGGGTCTTAATGGCGTAATTCTCGAACGTAGGATGATATACATCTCCTTGATGTATTTCATGATTATGAAGCATGTAGCAGCACTCCATTTGGATCTTGAATGATGCTATAACTTTGAGCAAGACATATTTGACATGTCTTTGATCTCTTAATGAATATTTTAAAGTGTCTTATAGAATACTGGAGAACATATATTTGATCTCTTTGTGCATATTCTGGAAGTTTACGGAATTGCTGAGATTACCTCCATTTTTTAGATACTTTTGTTAAGGGATTATCTAACCCTTTTTATAGGAGTGACCTAGGGTTAGAGTAGAGTAACCTTCAAGTTAGAGTTTTGGTAGAGTAGCCTCCAAACAACCCCGATGCAATCCTAATATTTCAAGAGTCGTCTTCTAGTATCTTGAATTTAGGATTTAGCTTGAACCATTAAAAATTTGATGTGTACAAATGCCCCATACTTCAACATTTGTCGGGGTGTAGGCTTGGCGAAACTTGAAGACGAGACTTGAAGTACTCGATGATTAACAGAAATTTTAATACTTGTAGTTTCAATTTGTAGGAGGAAGAGATGAAGGGAAGAACTGGTCCCACCAGGTGTGCCAATTTGTTTGCAGTAAATTTATGTAAAAAAATAAAACTGCAATCACAAACAACGTAACTATAAAGAAAAAAAAAAGAACTTTATTGATAAACATTGCAGGTTACAACTCGATTTATCCCTTGATTCTTTCCTCTGATTTGTTATCCGTAATTCGAGGGCCTTAGCAATATATTTCTTGAACGTAGGATGATATGAATCTCCTTGATGTATTTGATGATTAAGAAGCATGTAGTACCACTCCATTTGGATCTTGAACGATGCTTGAACTTTGAGCAAGACATATCTGACATGTCTTTGATCTTTTAATGAATATTTCATAGAGTTTTATGAAATTTCGGAGATTGTATATTGAAATCTTTGTGCATATTCCGAGAGTTAATGGAATTTCTCAGATTATCTCCATTTTTTATGCTTTTGTTAAGGAAATTATATAAATCTTTTTATGGGAGTGGCCTAGGATTAGAGTAGAGTAACCACCAAGTTAGGATTTTGGTAGAGCAGCCTCCAAGCAAAACCTGATAGACTCCTATTCAAGAGTCGTCTTCTAATAATCTTGACTTTAGGGTTTAGCTTGATCCGTTAAAAATCTCATATCTACAATTATATTATTTGTGACCTTAAAAAACAATTCATATTGCTCTAAGTACCTAATATGAGTTTCATCTTATTCCTAGCGAACCTCAAATCAGAGAGTAGGAAAACAAAATGAGACTCCATGTTTGTTAGGTCTAGTTATCACACAAAGAAGTTAATTTGATGGTAACACTTCAAACCCAACAAATTTTGTTTCTGGAAATTAATAAAATGATTGTCAAAAGAAATTAAGGTAGAAAATAATACTTGTTATTATTTTATTCAACATGATAACTAGCGTAATTTAATATAATTCTCAAAAGTATAAAAATCTATTAACATTTCATGTCGATTTAATGTGCGTACATATATATCATTACAATAGAGTTTGAAATAATTGTTTTCATCTGCATAGATATTTTAAAATTTTCTATAAGTTATAAACATAAAATTTATAATTAACTAATTAAAAGTTATACTTAGTAATATTTTAGTATCATAGTATTGTTTACCCTCAAAGTTGGATAACCGTTAAATTTGTAATTGGTTTTAAGGATACGCGAATTAATTCGATACAAAGCAATAAATTAAGTCAATATTGAAGAAACAAAGATAAAATAAATTCAAACCACACGAGTAGGGTAGTTCCAGCCTAAGTGAAACAGTCACCCTCGATCTGGACTCACCATGGCCAGCACTAAAGAAGATGAGAATGAGCTCATAATAGATTAAATAAAATACATTACTTTGGAGTGCGTTACAATGTGTTTCATTATCAGACACCCTTTATATAGTAGGGGAGTCCTACTTTAGGTACAAATCTATAAAAGGTAAAAAATCTTCTGATTAACTGACTGTCGGCTATAGGTGTTAATCGGGCCGGGCTAACCCGTTTTCAACTCGCTTCAACCCGGGTCAACCCGGTTCAGCCCGTTACTGTAGCTTAATGTGCGGGCTAGGACGGGTTGGTCGGGGGGCGGGTTTTGGACGAACATATTTTGGATAACGGTGCACTGTACCCGCTATGCCCGTTAACCTGTTAACGGGTTGTTAACAGGCTGCATCCCGTTATCAGCCCGGTTACCGTTATAATTTTTTTTAATTATTTGGACCGTTGCCAACAGCCAAAATTTAATTAAAAAAACAAAAAAAAATTTACACTATCCCGGCCCGCCCGAACCCGTACGGGCCCACAATAACCCGAAAATTCCGAACCCGCTACCAGCCCATTATCCCAGCCCGCTAACAAACCCGGTCCGATAACAGACGGGCTATTTTTTTTAGTTCAACCCATCCCAACCCGCCCGATAAACACCTCTACTGTCGGCTCCTTATCGATATGTGTCGAAATCCCTGCCGTGGTATCCAACCGGTCATGGATATTTCTGCGTTCTATTGGCTATGCTTGATTGTCTGATAATGTTCCTCGAAGTTGTTCAAGGTTAAGACCAGTCCGGAACCATGACCCAGATATTCTCGGGGCAGGCGTCATGCCCCCAAATTCCAACTCGATGAGACTTTTACCTCGATGTTGGCCCTTTGTCATCATGTCTCGAGACTGGCTTATCATGTCGGAGACTGGGGTGCACTGTACATTCGATTTTAC